GGAAGGGAAAGGAAAGGAAAGGAAAGGAATTGAAAGGAACATAAGGAAAGGAAAAAGAAAATCTATACCACAAACTTATGGAGTCCGAAATTGATTCTTATATCTTAAAATATAATTATGTAACATAAAAAAGATGTCATTCATAAAAGTAGTAAGCCAGATTAAGTCAAATTTTAAAGGGTCAATCTAGAAAGGAAAGGGAAAAAAGAAAAAGAAAAAAAGAAAAACATATTTTCAAAAACTTATTGTTGGGCTTACTGTGTAATTTTTTCCAACTTCCCCGGATGGAACCATCTCCAAGCCCTCTCCATTATAGTGAGCCGCGGGGGAGCTGTTAGCTTTTGACTTACAAGAAACAAGCCATACGCTTTATAGCAGCAGCAAAACTGTTGATTGCTGTATTTAAACACTAAAACCTGCACCTAAACTAGGTTTAAACTGAAGCAAAATGGTACGTATCGACTCAATGATGTCTCTGCTTTACTCTTTATTTAATCGTTCAAATGTTTGCTTCGCGATGTGGTGTTTTGGCCCAAACTTTGTCTGCTCTCAACTTCAAACGCGATGTCGTTTCTGGCTTCGCGTTTCGAGAGTTTTTTGTTGACATTTCGTAATTTTTAGTAACAGTGTTGCTACTTGGGTTTGGTTTAAAGTGTTTGTAGTACTGATCTTGCATTGTGTGTATCAAATCTCGAATATCAATGATAGAAAAGTAATTTTGATGAAGAAATGCTCAAGCTGAACGAGTCAATTTGGAAGTTACTTTACACTGATGCTGTTCATATTTTTGCTGCTTAGGAAGCGTAGAATTGCTCTTACATGGTCTAAAAACCTTTTCTGTATTTGTCTTCACAGGGAAACGAAGCTTCTCTACCATCGGATATGGTAACACACTGTAAGYCTACGATCAAAGCGATATATGCACTTRCTAAGTGATCGAATTATGCAAGCCGAACGAAGAACAAGCGATCCCTAGTCCAACCAATTTACCGTGTTTGCTTATCGTTTTTGCAGTCTAACTCTTTGTGTTTCGTCTCTTTGTTCTCTGTAGTTGATGCTGATGAGATTAGGAGACTTGGAAAACGATTTCGAAAGCTTGATCTGGATAATTCTGGTGCCCTTTCAGTCGAGGAGTTCATGTCGCTCCCAGAACTGCAACAGAACCCGCTTGTCCAAAGAGTCATTGATATTTTCGACTCTGACGGGAATGGAGAAGTTGACTTTAAAGGTAAGAAATAAAATAATTGTAAGTCAACATGCCTACAAAGCTTACGGAAGACAACGGTAGTTTTAAATATGGTTCAATGGATTCGTTTAATTTTCATCTTGAGATGAGCTGCTTTGTCCAAATTTGAGACTCTCGCCATTTTAAATTTCCCACCGCCTCGAAAAAAAAACCTAATACAAGATTTCTAGAGTTCACCCTAAAGGTAATCTGAAAAACCATAGCCCAAGGACTGGGCGTATCTTAGCTGTCTAAACACAACCAAACAAACTGTTTATAATCGAAGGAAAAGYGTTACTTCCTTCACAAAGTGGAAGACTATTTACTGTCTTTGTCCGTCATTGAGAAACGATAAAAATAAGAGACTTTCTCGTTTTTGCACCTGTCTGCTCTTGTCATTTCCTTAACCCTCACTAAGAACAAACTTTCATTTACCCAGCGTTTTTAATAAAAAACTAAGTTTTTGGTGTCTAAGTTTTCTTTGTTTTGTTCAAATATAGTTAACTATTCAACTTTATAACTATTGTTTGTTTATTTTTGTGGGGTCTTTCTGTGTATCCATCTCAAAATGTTGCAGACACGTTGTTGTTATTAGCAAAATCGCTTAATATCAAATGCGTTTAGATGATACTAGAAGCAATATTACTGAGCAGATCGTCTTCTGAGAGTTAAGATTACCATAGTCCTTCATAGATTAATACTAATGTCCAGACTTGAGAACTATTTAGGGAAATCTTAACAAACTAAAACCACTACCAATCAGTATAGTAAACCATATTTCTGATGAACAACTGTAGATCTCATGATGCCTTGATTTATTAACAAAATCTTTTCTTAAGCTTATCGTCTTTATTTTGATTGTAATCAACACTCCTTTCAATTGAATACTGTATGCTAAGAGGAAAACTATTGCACAGAAAAAGGCGTAGCCATTTGTTATAGAAGTAAACTATGCTATACTATTCTTCATGTAGTCACAACATAGTAACTTGGGCTATATATCTTTACCTAACTTTTGAGGTATAGAAGTACAAAATATGTCTATCATTCTCTTTCCAGTGATACTTTTACTGGGAGCATATAGTGCTTATGTATATATGTATACTCCCTAAAATCTATAATATGTTTGACTAAATTCAAACTTAATAATCACTTAAGAGTATCAAAATAAATCAAGTCACAACCAAACTGAAAGCATTCCTTACCTATTTTACAGCAATTAGGAAATATCTGTCCTTATTTCCCAGATGAGYGATTCTGTAGAATTTTTGATTTTGCTTGTAGGATGTCAGCCCAATATTTACCTATATGTTATAAACGTTAATGGATTTTAAAAATTGCAACTTTAAAGCTGTTCCATAAAATTGATACTGGTTTGACTGTCACGATTATGGTTTTCGGTGAATATTAGAAAACCTAATACTCTGGAAGAATATAATTTATACCATAGATATGTATTCTAATTTCAGCCATTTGTGAGGATAACATACCATATTTGGTTCTTGTAAATGCAGTAATCACGTATTTAAGAATAATTTTACGATTAACTAGGTTTTTTATTAATATGTTGTGACTAGGTTAATGTTTGTTTTTGTTATGATGACCTTGATATACCTGATATACTGTACACTTTCTAAGTACCATACCATATGTTGTTCATGTTAGGATATGAAGATAATGTATAGAACTATGAACAATTTATGCATTCTGATGTACTATCTTGTGACATTATACCATGATTACTWTAGTCTAGAAATTGCCAGAAATAATGTCAATTTATCTAGTTGGCGTTGCAGTTCATTTCGTGGAGCTGTTTTAGGTGAGAAAGTGGACAGACCATCTTGAATATTTGTTTCCATAGACAGTCCCAAAATGCACCATATGCCAGCTCGGCCCAGTTTTTTCCTCAACCTCCAAAATGGCTGATTAAGATTAATAATAATTATCGGCACCAACTCTGCTATACATACACCATCACCATCAACTTTTTTTAAACATTTATTTGTATTATCAGTTTTATTATTATCTTATTATTACTATATTTTATTTTTCTCATTATTATTCATAGTTCTGTTAAGATTATGGCATGTTGGTGACAATGATAT